CCCCAATTCTCTAGCAGACGATATTATTATTATATGCTTGTTCAGGGCAAAGCATAAACCAAAGCATAATACATGTAAAGATTGTTCGAGCTAGGCTCTAGATAATTTACATTATGGCGTGACAATAGTGAACTACAGAAATCACACAGTTATTTCAGCAAAAGGGTTCAAGGATTCAGAGGCGATCAACCAGCATCCCCGCTTACTAAGAAAACACGTTTCCGATCCAGGTGATTGGCATGACACATCCATGATGTAATGTCATACCATTGATGATGTTGATAAGAGCCGAGGTCAACGTAATCTCTAAAAAAACCACAGAGTATGCGGCGTTTGACTGACTCAAGGAACAGAACTCGTACGAATATCTTTTTTTAACTTTGGCGAAACGTCATTCTTGCCAAGTCTCATTACGTTGCTGATCTGCAAATAAGGCTAGCTAACGGCGGCACAGACGTTATCGAGATGTGTGATTATCGTCACCATTTCGGTTTTTGCCTAGAACAATATGGTGGGATGGCACAATAGATTATAGATATGATGTAGCGTTGCATTAATTATTCTTGCCGTCGCGAGAAAGATGGGGGATACCGCCAATTATTACGACTTTGCTTTTCAGGTCAGGATTTTACATTGGTTTTTTTTAGTATTCGATCTGTTGTGAAACAAACATTTACATACATCGATTTGTTTGTTCGAACGCATAAGTTTGGCGTACGCGGCAATTGCCTCGTCATGACAGATGTAAATCAATAAATAAACGCATTACAAAATTTTTAGCTTTTACCAAATCAAGACTTTGATTTTATTTGTAATAAATACATTATTATAGCTATGACATTATTGTAATTTTCACAGTTTTGAACTAAATACACATTACAGCACCAACTAATGCCAAAACGACAGTGGTAAGCAAGCTGATGGCTACTGTCTCGTACTGATTGCGGTGCACAACAGCGGCACCATTGGTATCAGCATCCCTCACCGCAAATCTGCGAGCAGTAGCGGTAGCTGATGTTCCGTCCGTCTCGCTCTTCGTGACAGTTGTGTATAAAACCGTAGTTGTAGGACTGGAAGTGTATTCGGTCTCGGTGACGTTATAACTAGCCGTCTGTGTAGCGGTCACGGTGGTGGGAGTGACGGTAATCGTAGTGTAACTAGTCTCCGTAACAGTCGGAGTCTCCACAAGGGTTACCGTGGTCGATGGAGTCACCGTAGTTGTGGTATACGTAGTATTAGTGTATTCGGTGGCAGTGGTGGTAGCGTTCGTATATTCTGTAGTGGTTGACGTTCCCGATTCACTTCCCGAAGACTCCTGCTGGGGCGACGGAGTAACTGTATGTTTTTTGACAGGTTAGCGTATTTGATATTTTTTTTTAATTAATGGCTTATGTTCGCGTACTTACTAGTAGTATAAATAGTCGTAGACCCTGACGGGACGTATTCAGTAACAGTAGTTTGCGCAAACGCGCTGGCAACAAGAAGAAGGGCAAACGTAAAAGCGACGGCTTTTTGCATCATTTTCGTCAATTACTTGCTGTTCGATACCGAATGGTGGTGA